TACATAATTCGGAAATTTCACTCGAAAGCACGCCTGCACAGGTGCTGCACAGTCGCTGTACGAGTGCGGTAAGGATGCTGCACAAGTGACGCACGGGAAGCATTTTTCTGCACCCCAAAATAGTAGCTGAAACTCTGCTCATTCTATTATAATTATGATGTAATTACCAAAAATGTGTCATAATTAACTGCGCCAAAATATAATGATATATTGAGTTGTCTCATGTTACGTACATGTAGTCAGTGTGTTAAAAGAATCAATATGTTTTTTCTTAGATTGTTACGTTAGATTTAACCCCATGTATTGGGGTGACACAATGCGTGACATTGCCTTAAAGGTTTACCCGATTTATCTATTTGCATATCAAAGGCCGATAATCATAAATAAGAAACCCAAATTAAGTAGGTCACTTGAAATCAAGTACAAAAATAGAAGTCACGCGATGTCACAGTGGTTTCTCTACCACGTGCCTTGTTAAAAAAAAAAAACATTTAAATGACTCATTTTCCCTTTTTTTTTTATTGCGTTAAGCAAAATTCAAATCCAAATCCAAATCCAAATCCAAATCCAAATTCAAATCCAAATCCATATTCAAATTTAAATTCATATCCAAATTTAAATATCTAAAATGTTTTCATCTGTGGATAAATATCTTTCTTACATAAATGAAAATAACGACCGTTCTGTGATTCTTCCTTTAAGGGAGCAAAGTGAAGTTACAATCGATTTAGCGTATGTATCTATTACACATTTTTTCTTTGTATAATTATTAAACTAAGATTTAATAATAGAAAATTAGGTTATGGAAAACGTCTTCGTAAAGCGTTACTCCCTCTATTGCGTGATATGATCCCAGGATGGGAGGGCGTTACATCAGAATCTCACATTCAAGTAGAGCAGATCACAGGTTCTTACACGAATTCGGTATTTTGTGTTAAAAAAAATTTGCTAGATGACGCAAAAACGCAAAAGGTATTATTGAGAATATATGGAAACGGGGTTGACCAATTAATCGACCGAGAAGGGGAACTTCTAACTCTAAGAATGCTTTCATCAGTCAAAATCGGTCCGCAACTACTCGGAATCTTCAAGAACGGCCGCTTTGAACAGTTTCTGGAATCCAAACCTTTGACCAAGGATGATCTTTGCATGGCTCCAGTATCACGTCATATTGCGTGCCGAATGTTTCAACTTCACAAAATCGTAAATATATTCCCACCAAAGAAAGATGTTATTCCAGAAGTGTGGGTTAACATTGATCGATGGTATCCATTAGCCTGTAAGGCGGTTAAACCAGACAATAAGGAAGCGTTACGTTTACTAAATTTATTAAAGGATGAAATCCCACGATTAAAGTCGATGCTTTTCAAGGTTAATTCTCCAATCGTGTTCGCACATAATGACGTAAGTGTTTTAGCTTATTCTTTGTTTTCGCTACTCGAAGAATATTTGCTGATTGAATCATTCTTAACAATTATTAAAGACACAGTACGGTAACATTCTACGACTTGCAGACGAATCTAATCAATTGGTGGTGGTCGACTTTGAATATGCCGGATACAACTATCGTGGATTTGATATAGGAAATCATTTTTGCGAGTGGGGTTATGATTATAGTGGTCCAGAGCCTCATGTTTTTCATAGGGAGTGGTTCCCCACGGAAGATGAACAATATAATTTTCTTTCTGCGTATTTAGAGGCTCAGGACCAAGAGCTAGGGTTTGTAACGAGAGATCAATTAACGTTACAAAAAATGCGAGTGGAGTGCAATGCTTTCTCACTAGCGAGTCACGTTTTATGGGGAGTATGGGGTATTATACAAGCCGCTCAAAGCGAAATTAGTTTTGACTACCTATCTTATGGTATTCAAAGGTTACAGGCCTTCGAAGATTATAAAGAAGGAATTTACAATCAAATTCTGGAACATTTTTAATTTATATATATATATATTATTCAAAAAATGTATTATAGTAACATAAACAATCTTTTTAAAGCTATGATAATTTCTCACGTTTTTAAAGACATTGAAAATATTGGCAAATAATAACGGAAGATTATATAATTCTTGGATTATTATATTAAAAAATGTATTTATATAAATTATTAAATTCATTATTATTTTTCGAACCTATTTTTAAATTAATTTAAAAATTAAGTTTTAAAAATTGTTTTTTATATTTACAGTAATATAAAATACAGTATATCTATACTAATATACTGTAATTTTTTTTAAAGTGGATAAGCACAATTCTTTATTATTTGTATATAAAAGATATCCATTTTGAAAAAAACCAATATTTTCCACATGCAATTGCAGTAGGCTTAATTTAGCTGCTTACAGTTAATTATTTAATCAGTATTGAAAATTTTTAAACAATGCAAATTTTTAAATAATTCTAAGCATACCTATTCAGAATAAATTAGATAAAAAAATGAATAAAAAAGAAAAAAAAATTGCAATAAATATATTATATATAAGTTTTTTATAAGCAAAAATAATGTAAAAAATTTTCTGTTTGATAATTTTATCTTTTTGATTTCTTGTAATTTGTTAATAAATCTTTATTAATAAAAATATTTGAATATAATTGATATAAACAATAGTTAAATAAAATATTATTGTTATTATTGTTATTATTATTGAATAAATAATAAAATAATTTTAATAATTTTATTATATTTTTAAGTAAATATAAATATTATTTACAAATGATGGATAATATTATATGGATAACCAGATTTCAGACAGATATGAAGCATATTCTAAAAAGAGCAAAGGGGTTCTATGCAACTAATAATTCCTAAATTAACAGAAACAAATTGATACTGATTATAATTAATAGCTCAAACAAAGGATCCAATAAAGTATAGATCAGAATTAATTAGAAAAAGGTCAAAGAATTAAATCGCAAATGTCATTCTAGATTTCTGGATATCTGGCTAGATAACAAAGACCAGACCAAGGATATGATTAACAGAATATGACAAAAAGTTCAAGCAGTATTGTCAAATCTGAAAAAAAAGTTAATTATAGACAAATATACTAAATATATAATCAATAGAATTCTTATTTTTAGAATTGAATATAAGATATAACATAGTTTAATAAGCCTTCATATAATTAATATCCTCTCAGCCCAGCTCAGAAAAGTACTCAAACAAGTAGTCAAGATTATAGAAACAATATCAAATTCATTCATATATTATAAAGCTTTCTATAAACTTAAAAGTATCCAAGAAATTCAAATAAAAAACCAAATTATCAACTTTACAAATTATCTTAACAATATGGATTACCCTAGTATATCTACTCTAATATATCTCAAGCAAACACAATTAAAATATCGAAAGCCAACAAACATATTATCTGAAGACATATTATATAATATATATAAGAAAAATTTTTCAATCCAAATAATTAAATTGATCAATAAACTAGGAATTACCTTCTCAGATTTACAATAAAGAAATATATTTCAATGGAAAAAAGGATATATTATAATAAAAACTTTGATAAATGATTCCAAAGTATATGACAAAGCAGTGTTTTTATTAAAAAAATATAACATTATATTCACAAATCAGCTTATAGACAAAGAATTAGATAATTTCTTGAATTGAAAATTGTTTCAAAAACCTTAAAGCCATGGACAGGAACCAATCCCAAAATGGTACCTTTTAGTAAAACAAGTATTGACAAATAATTCAAAATGCTAAAGACAAATTAGACAAAATATAACTGGATAGAACAAGACAGATCACTTTTTATATCAAAGAAATTATTTGATTCAAAAAAGTGAAGCTGGCAAGTAAGTATAAACAATATTAACAAAGAATTCTACTGGACCAAGAGCAAAGAAGTATTAAAATCTATTAGCAGAACAATAGAATGCTATCAAATTAGTACTAACACAATTCCAGAAACAACTGAATTTGCCAAAACATCCTCAAGGTATAAAACATAAAAAAGAATCATATACTAACATTTGTATAAATTAACAATATCAAAAAATACAGTGAAGCAAGAAGTCAATTATTCCAATAAAAGTTCACATACTAGAGAATCTAATTAAGACCAAGATGAAAAAGATATATTTTCAAAATATATTTACATCAAAGTTTCAATCCATTGAAATCGAAGACTATAGAAAACAAATTATATAAGAGAACTTATTGACAGAAAACTTTTGCATACTATTATATAAGGAATACTGTCTAAATGTAAACAAAAAATATATAGGTTCATATCAATTCTATACAAATGGATTATTTGAACAGACACAAGACTAGTTTTTAAGAATGGATGCAGTATGGATTCAAACTGAGGATCCAAATCCAAGAAGATTATTTCAGACAGAAATAGACAATTGGCCTTTATTAATAAAAGCAAAATTGGTGATAATTCTTTTAGTAACTCTTTCAGTATCAAATGGTAGTATAGTTGAAATAAAAACAAACAGCTCCTCCTATATAGATATCTACTTAATCATAAGCAAGCAACATTCAAAAAATATATGGTGCGAACAGTCTAAAGCCATCAAATAACTTTGAAGTGTAAAGGATTTTTATTTAAATATATAACCATTAAAAAAAAATACGTTATTAAATAGCCTTTGATATGTTCTATAACGTGACGTATTTTTTTTGTTCATTGTATTATAAAAATTATTTGTAGTTAGAATTTTTCTAAC